AATATCTCTTTCAGGTCTTTCTGGGACCCGCCGTGTGGGGCATCCTCAATCGATTCCCATTGAAGGATTTGTTGGTGGATGGGTTTGTCGGCTTATCCATGGAACTTTTTTTCAGGGTCAACAAATTCTCTTTTCAAGGTCAACATTTTTTTGGGGGTCAAAAATTGGTTTCACGGTCCCACCGCGTGGGATTTCTTCCGAAACATGCCAATGAAGGACTGGTTGGTTGGCTGGTTGGCTGGCTGGTTGACTCACTGGTTTCTGGGTTAAAAGATTCTTTCCTAGGCAATGGGGTGGAACGCTGGTTTGTTGGTTGGCTGGTTGGTTAGTTGGTTGGTTGGTTGGGCGGTTGGTTGGCTGGCTGGTTGGTTGGTTGGGCGGCTGGTTCGTTGGTAGGCCGGTTGGTTGGCTGGTGGTTGGTTGGTCGGTTAGTTGGTTGGTTGGCTGGGTGGACGGGTGGCCGGTTGCCCGCTTGCCTGGGTGGTTGGCCGGTTCTCCCCTCCATTCCTCCTCCCCTCCCCCCCTTCTTCCCTCTTCACTCCTCCACAATAATACAAAATTAACGCTACTCTCCACTCTCCCTCGACGACTCCGAGGTCGTAGCCTGCCATCCCCCAAAGGTGATCGATCATGCTTTTTCCAATCCGAGTGTTTTCGGTGTTTCCAGAATGGCGCTTCCGCTACAGCGTTGGCTCCATTTTCTTTTTGGCTCTCGGTCCTTCCACATCATACTCCCGCTGCAGCGCTGACCTCGTTTCTTTGATGCGGATCTTCCCAAACTTGTTCGAGCTACAGCGTTGGCTCTCATTTAACGCTTGAGTTTGCTTGTGCGTTTTCCAATCCGGATGTTGTCTGTCCTTCCAGAAAAGGCGATCTCGATTCATTTTTATCTTCATTTCCGCACTTCTGGCTCTTCCACAATGGCGCTGCCGTCTCATCGTTGGCTCCTTGTCCATGTTCTCCGCCAATGTGGAGAGGAGACCAACGCCATGGAAAGGGGTGGGAGGGAGGGGTATGACGTCAGATATGATGCGAGCGAGCCTAGCTTGTCCTTCCCCCCCTCGTCTCTGTACCTTGTTCCCTCCTCCTCCCTCCCTGTCCTCCTCCCCCTCGTCCGCAAAGTCTTGCAATGCAAGGTGTTGCAACTTCAATTCACGTGCGACGCAATGCAGTGCAGTGCAACGCAACAGGACGGAATGCGACGAAGTGCACCGCACCGCAACGCAGTGCAGTGCCATGCGATGCGATGGCAGCGCACAGCAGTGCACTCCGATGCAGCGCGATGCAGATGCCACGCAATGCGAGGCAACAGGATGCAAACTGTAAGGCAGCGCAGCACCATGCAGTGCAGCGCAGCGCAGCGCAGTGCAGTGCACAACGCAGTGCAGCGCAAAGCAGGGCAGTGCAAAACGCCATTGGCGCCTCGTCGTATGCGGCAGCGCTGCGGGGCCCCAAAGCGACGTCTTTCCCTCTCCGCCCGCCACGTGGCCGCCCGCTGGGCGGGCGACGAAATGCTCTTCCGCTCTACTCGTCGCGCTGCAGCGCCGCGGGGGCCCGAGAAACATGGCATTCCCCTCTGCTCGCGCGACGTGGCACCGCCGTGTGGGGGGGGGGGGGCGGAACCAGCATGCTACTCCACGTTTCCCGTCACGTGCAGGCGCCCGTTCTACTTGCCACGTGGCAGCATCGTGGGGGCCGGCACACATACGATTTCGCTTTATTCGTCACGTGGCAACGCCGCGGGTCCCGAAACAACTACTGTGCCACTCCACTCGCCACGTGGCGACGCCAGGAGCTCGCGAAGAAATCGTATTCCATTCTAGTCGTCACGCGGCAGCGCCGCGGGTGCCGAAACACACATTATACTGCGATGGCGACGAGGACGACGAGAACGGCGACGACGACGGTGACGAGGGCCAGGGAGACAAAACTGCTATCCTACCCTTCTCGTCCTTTTTCCTTTCCCCCTCCCTTCCCTCCCCATCCTCCTCCATCCTTCCTCCCCCTTTCTCCCTCCTCCCCGTCCCCTCCTCGCCCTTCATACCCAATCACTCCTCATGCTTCCTCCCATCCTCTCTACCTTCCTCCCTTCTCCTCCCTCCTGTCCCCCCTCGCCCGCATGTCTTTGCAATGCAGAGAACTGTACATGCAATGCAAACGCAACGCGGTGGGATGCACTGCAACGCAACAGGATTATTGGTTGGCCAGTTGGTTGGTTGGTTGGTTGGTGGTTGGTCGTTCGGTTGGTTGGATGGCCGCCACGTGGCCACACTCGGGCGGGCGGCAAACCACTGTTCCACTCTACTCGTCACGCGGCAGTGCCGCGGGCGCCATAACAAAAAACAAATCCAGTCGATTCTCGACGTGGTACCGCCTGGGGGTCGCGAAACAAATTGCTACTACACTCTATTCGTCACGTGGCAACGCCGCTGGTGGCCGAAACAATTACTACGCCGCTCCTCGCGCCACGTGGCAACGCCTGGAGGCGTGAAGACACTATTCCATCCACTCTGCTTGTCGCGTCGCAGCGCCGCGAAGGCCAGGGAACAAATACTATTCCTCTCCTATTCGACACGTGGCAACGCTGCAGGTGCCGACAACAATGCATGAGGGAGCGAATCGCGGGACGCCGACCTTGGCCTTAGTGTCCATCGTTGCAATAGTCTTCCGCAGCCTTTTGGGACTCAGGGCATCCCGTTTCCTGGGTGCTAGGCGATCTCCGCCCCCTCCGCGGCCGCGCGCCAGGGGCAGGGAACCATGCCAGGGCCATGGGTCCCAGTAGCCCTGGACCCCGACTTTGCCGAAGGGCAGTGGGTGTACGAGCATAGCTACCATGAGGTGGCTTTCCACGATGACGACTTGATGGATCAGGGCACGTGTATATATATATATATATATATATATATATATATATATATATATTCTGGGGAGTGGCAAGCTTGGGCAGGCCATTCCCGCCGAGTACGTTGACGCCAGCGACGACTACCACGGTTGGTGGATGGAGGGTGGCGGGAAGGACACAAAGGCGAGGACCACTTTTGCACCTGCAGCCGCAAGAAATGCGCCTACAGGGACAAGAACACCAAGGACGTGATCCATGTCGACGGCTTTCGCCTCTTGGAGGGCACCGATCTTTCCGCACGGACCGTCAAGTGGCTCAAGCGGCCTGGCGGGAAACGCCTTAAGGAGGACTTGGCGGCGCATCCGGCACCCGACGACACAGGCGGCCAAACCCAGGGGCGTCGACGCGGGCGCCGAAGGCGCCTGTTTGAGGAGGAGCCTGGGGGCGCCCCAGATCAGGGAGCGTTGGCACGGGACCTGCGGCACCTGCGGGACGAGGGCCGAGCCGTGGCCAGCGCGGCGGCCAGCGCGAGGCTCCCGAGGAGCGCGGCGGGCGGTATGGTTCTCGGAGCCGACGCCGCCAGGGTCTCGGCAGCCGCAGCGCAGCCCGGGGCCGCCGCAGCCGCGGCGCAGGCTGGAGCCAGGCGGCGGCGGCGGGGAGCGTCGACGAGGACGATAGTGGTGATGGTGGTGGTGGGTTGTGGTGGTGGTGGTGGTGGCGGTGGTGGTGGTTATGGTGGTGGTGGTGTGGTGGTTTGTTGTGGTGGTGGTGGTTGTGATGGTGGGTGGTGGTGGTGGTGGCTTGGTGGTGGTGTGGTGGTGGTTTGTGGTGTTGGTGGTAGTGGTGGTTGGTTGTTTTGGTAGTTGTGGTGGTTTGGTGGTGTGGTGGTGGTTTGTGGTGGTGGTGCTGGTGGTGGTGGTGGTTTGTGGTAGTGGTTTGTGGTGGTGGTTGTGGTGGGTTGTGCGGCTTGTAGTGGTGGTGATTGTGGCGGTGGTGTTGGTGGTGGTGGTGGTGGTGGTGTGGTAGATTGTGGTGGTGGTGGTGGTGGTGGTAGTGGCGGTTGGTTTTTGTGGTGGTGGTGGTGGTGATGATGGTGAGTTGTGGTGATGGTGGTTGTGGTGGCGGTGGTGGCTGTGGTGGTGGTGGTGGTTGTGTGGTGGGTTGGTGGTGGTGGTGGTGGGTTGAGACGGTGGTGGTGGTGGTAGTGGTGGTCGTGGTGATAGTGGTGGTCATCGTTGCTGCGTCCCCGCCGTCGCTGGCGCCAGCGTCGGCGCTGCTGGCCGCCGCCAGCGCTGGCGCTGGCTGGCCGCCGCCAGCGCTGGCGCCGGCGCCGGCGCCAAGGGGGGGCAGGGTTTTGAACCTTCTTCCCTTTGGGCTGCCTCTGGTCATCGTCGCTGCGTCCCCGCCGTCGGCGCTGCTGGCGGCCGCCAGCGCCGGCGCCAGCGCCGGCGCCGAGGGGGGGGGGGGGTTAGGAGGGGGGGGCTTGGGGGGAGGGGAGTCCCTTTGGTTTTGATTGACGGCGCCGAGTGTTTGGGGCCCCCCCCCTGGTTCGGAACGCGCCGCCGACCGTTCCCAACGCAAGCGCCAATGAAACGCGCTCGCTGATATATGTGTATATATATATGGACGTATATATATACTATATGCTCACATATAAGACTATACATGTATACGTACAAATGTATACATATGTGTGTATATATATATGTATGCATATGTAGTTATATGGATATGTAGATCGATGTATATATATATGTATATATAGTCATACGAAGCGTTTTTTGTTTGTGTGTATATATATATAGCGACATGTCTATATCGACATATCGATATCGATCTATGGGTGTTGGGAATGTATAGTTCGATATTTAGGTCGATATATAGATGGGTATATGTGCGCAACAATACGAAAGTTGAATCCACCACCAAGAAGAACCCAGAGCCATCGCAAATCGACCGCCTCCCCCTCCCCCCCGACTTCGTTATCACCCGTAGGGTGGTCCTATTGGTATGATGTGGATGATGATGCTGTTGATGATGATGTTGCTGCTGCTGATGATGCTGCGGCCGATGCTGCCGCTGCTGCCGCTGCTGGCCATGGTGATGGTAATGATGGTGAATGTGGTGTTGATCAAGACTGTGATGATGGGGTGGCGGTGGCGACGATGAGGATGACGGTGGAGGCGGATGGCGGAGGTGAGTCAGGTGAGGAACAGAAGGATCGTTGGTGCACGGCGGGAGCAGGAGCAGGAGGTGGGGGAGTAGGATCACCCTTGCTCGGTGGCGGTGATGAGGATGGAGATGCAAGTGGTTTGCGGTGCTTCCCCGCCTCGGCGTCGGTCGGCTCTGGGGGTAAGAGTTCCCTTGCCCACCCCCGCCCGACAGACTCCGCCCATGGCCCTCTCCTCCTTCCTCCTCCTGCCGCTGGCCAGAATTCAGGGGGACAATTAGGGGGCCAAAAAGTGGACACCCTTTCTTTTCGACCCCGTGTTCGCCCCCCCCCCCCCCCTTCCCCCAGACCCAAAGATGGCGTCTAGCCTGCTGGAGGCCCTCAGGGTTCCAATGTTTTTGTCCTTTCGAGCATGCGCTCCCTTTGAATAGAGAGGGGGAGGGGGTAGCGGAGCCAACAGTTCCACGTTTGTTCATCTACGGGAGGTCGTCGGAGGTGCTGCCCGCAAACGCAGGGAGAGGCCGTATTGCCCGTGTTGCAGCCTGAGCCAGGGGCCACCGCAGGGAGAGGGTAAGGGAGCATGGCCCCAAAGCACTGGGCATGACATGCAACGTGCCTAACGGATGCTGCAGCTACAGGATGCTACATGTACCCGTCGGTCGTTGAAAGAAGGTGTTTTTGGATTCCCACATCCCAATCTACTTCAAGCGCCTTCCTACTTCAATAATCGATCTTCCTTTACCGCGTTTGTTATTTTCTGGAATGGCCTGAACCTAATCTACTTTGTCCGCCCTCCTACTTCATGCTTTGATCTACGTCTTCCGACCGACCTGTACTCGCCCTCATCCGCTCTCCGAGGCTCCCGCGAGGAGTCCTCCCGCGGTGCTCCGCGTGGGGGCGACCGGGCCCTGCCCCGCGACGAAGCTCCCGCGCGAGCGCCTGCGCCAAGGTCGCCGCGCTACTTTGTGCTCCCCGTGCCGCAGGCGGCGTCAGGCGGCGTGCTCTTGGGGCCCTGCCGCGTTTTCCGCCTGGCCGCCGTGCGCTGCTGCTGCCGCAGTGCCAGGCCTGCTGCTGCACTGCCGATTAGGAGCGGGTGATCATGAAGCACATCATGCCAACCCCTCGCCCTACCCTATACTTGTGGCCTAATTCAGGTCCACGTTTTTAATGTTGGAATATCTCCGAACATATGGGTGGTTTCGTCTGACAGCAAGAAAGCAAGAAGGTCCCTCTCCCCAATGTTTTTTTGCCCTCCTAGCATAGGTCCCCTCCCAAAGGATTAGGGGTACTTTAATTGCTTATCAGAAGAAGGACGTATCAGGTAACGTAAGACTCGAGTTCGCCAGAAACTCGGGCTAGCTGACGCTTTTTGACGAGCCCGTCTTGACGGTCCAGTTGTCGTGGGATGTCTGCCGTGGGAGCTCGCGTCAAGTTTCGGATTAGGTCTCCTCGCTTTCCTTCTCGGCCCCGTCAGGCCAACCCGAGTCCCCCGAACGTACACGCACATGACTTCACGTTGGTTTCGAGAGTACGCCTTGCGCGAACGTTCCTATCCCGGGGCTGGTCTCGCGGGCTGGCGGGCCGTGTCCATGTGCGTGGTTGGGCGCGTATGCCCTTCGTGGGCTCCCTATGCTGGCTGCCGCCGGCGCCTCGGTACGATCGAAGTGGGTACGGACAGACTGTGTGCGAAGACCGACAGCATGTCTTGTTTGTTTTGAACAGGACTCGCTGACGGTGTCGGTGCGGATGTTGTCCATTTGAGACAGAAGGCCGCCTGCCCAATAGTGACCGCTGCAGGATTTGGGCAACATTCGTTGTATGGCATCGTACCAATTTTTTCCGTGCCCATTTCGGGCGTCCTCATAGCCGCCGCCGTTGGTGTCGACGACGTCGGGGTCGAGCTTCAAGCGTCGTCCCCGCGGGAACCGTGGGGATCTGCAGGGGAGGAACGGGAGGGGCAGAGCGGAAGAATGGGAAGCAGGAGAAAGAGGAGGGAGGAGAAGGAGGACGGGGACGAGGAGATGAGAGGCGTGGGCGGGAGGAGAAGGGTGGGCGATCGGGGAGGAACAGGGGGCATCCACTCTCTGCCGAGCGTCAGTTCGCGATAGCGAGTACGGTTTGCTAGCGCAACCGCCAATCAGCGTACTTCCCCGAGAGCCTCTGGTACAAATCTGGCTCCATCCTGCCTGCGGTCCCCCGTCCGCAGGCGGCGCCCAGACCCTGGAGGTGGAGGTGCCCATCTCCGACGAGGGTGGCCGGACCCGCTCCGCCGTGCCCCAGGGGGACGGAGGGCTCTCCAGAGTCTGCCCCGGCAGTCTGCTCGCTCCTCCTCCTCGTCCTCTTTCCTCGCGCTCATCTCGGGCGACGAAATCTATACATATCCACTGCTCCCTGACCATGCCCATCTTGAACCCAGGAGTTGTGCATACGCCCTCCTGGCCACGCCAGGAGGGCGCAGCGTATACACGGCTGCTGGGTTCAGGATGGGCCTCGCCAGGGAGCAGTGGATATGTATAGATGTCGTCGCCCTATCATCTCCCCCCATCTCCCTCTCCCCCTCCCCCCTCTGTAGTTACAGCTGCAGCATACATTTGCCAGCGTGGGCTCCAGACAGTGCGTTCTTGCACTCAGGACGTATACCGAACGTGGTGCAAAGCTGTGCGGGGCAATCCACAGCGAATGTCGTGCAATCTGTACTCCTCCAGCCACGCACCACGCCCCACTTTCCGACGGCGTGTTATCTGATGGGTCAAATCTAGCAATTGTCATGTGTGCACCATGGTCCACCAGGACACCCAGGACGCCCGGATTTTCCGTCCGGGCATCAAATTCCGCGTCCGCGTTTCGCTTGCTGCCTGCCGCTCAAGGGTTTCCTTTGCTTCAGCTGCAGTGTGCTGCGTCCCTGCTGGTGGTCACAGTCGGAGGGGCGTGGCAACCGTGCCTGCGTGGATGAGTGGACGCGTGCACGTATTTGCGTGTGTGTGTGTATGCACGGATACAAGCGAGCTCTTCATAGTGGATGTCCAGGGCTCATTTCGTTTCCTTCGATTCGATTCGATTTGATTTCGATGGTTTCTGATTCCGATTAGATTTGACCTTGGATTTCGATCTGGATTCAGATTTTCCATTGGAGGCCTTCTAGCCCGCCGATTTCCGCTGATTCGACTCACTCCGACCTGGCTGCCGATTTCCGCCGACCCGATTCATTTCAATCGCCGATCGGACTTATCGATTCGATTCTGGGCTCACCTGATGAGGGGGTGTATGAGAGAGTCGATGGCGAGCGGCGAAGATGCGTGAAGTGGAGTGATGTGTGCATGCGTGAATCCACGGACGAAAGGGCGCCTGGCGGTGTGTATCAACTCAGACTCGTCAGCATTCTCCCTTTCTCTCCTCAGCTGCTTCTCCTGGTGCATTCCTGCTCCGATCATGCTGTCGCCCGAACTCGGTGCATCTTACCATGCGCTCGCTACTCCCCAAGCACGTCCGCCCAGGTGGTCTGGCCGCACTCGACGACAGCGAGGTCGGCATGGATATTGTCGCGTGGAACCACGACCCGGCGCTGCGCCGGACCATTTGGGCTGGCAAGCTGCCGCTCTGGAAGGCCCCACCGGACCACGGTCGCGGGCGCGAGTGGAAGTGGGGGTGGAGGAGGGAGGAAGGGAGGCATGAGGGGAATGATGGAGGGAGATGTGGGGGACCTTAATACATCCAGCACGCGTCTTTGATGCTGCAATGAACGCTCCCGTCACACAACCCCTCATTTGAGGTAAGAACAAGTTTTTTCATTGCGGCGAACTCTTTGGGAGGTGAGAGCCCGTTCGGGGCACTTACAGCCAACACATGTATCAGCCAGCGCAGACCATAAATAGATCAGAAGACTGAACTTAGGCTGACTTGAGTGGACTTTAAGTAGGCTGGACAGGAGTAGACTGGACTGGACAGGGGTGGACTATCATACCCGACTCTACTCTACCATCTACCCTACTCTGCTCTACTCGACCATGCTCTACTCTACCCTACCCTACCCTACCCTATCCTACCCTACCCTACCTACTACTCTATTCTTACACCTACTCTAACATGCACACCCATACTCTACACTGCTCTACACTGCTCTGCTCTACTCTACTGTGCTCTGCTCTACTCTATTCTACCGACTCTACTCGCTCTGCCCTACCCTACTCTACCCTACCCTACTCTACCCTACCCTACTCTACTCTATCTACTCTACTCTGCGCTTATATTGCTCCACCTTACTCTACTCCTACTCTATTATGGTTATCCTCGCCTCCACATTTCTTCGCTCTGCTTTAATCTAGTCAACTCTGCTCTACCGTACTCTACTATAATCTGCCCTACTCTGCTCATCTACTCTTTTCTACTATACTCTGCTCTACGCTGCTTTATTATTCAGCTCTACTTCTGAGTTTGACGATTGTTGGACTATTGTTGAGACGCCATTGGAATAGCCACAGGACGCCGTTGGAATAGCAGGGGAAGTCATGCGGACACAGGAAGCCATGGGCTTGCCGTGGGTCGGCGGCGGGGACTTGCAGCAGACGCCGCATGTGCTCCAGCGCATCCCGAGTGTGCAGCAGTAGGGGGCCATCATCGCCTGCCCGAACTCCGAGTTGGGCACGTGCAGGACTGGAGCAGGAGGGCAAGCCACCGACTACTTCTTGGTGGACGCCTCGCTGGAGAAGCGGCTGGTCAGAGCGTGGGTGGACGAGGACTGCCCACGGGGCCTCACAAGCCAGTCGGCTCGAAGCTGCGCTCGGAGCCCGTCGAGAGAGGGGAGAGGTTCCTGCAGCGCTCGAAGCCGATGCCGCCGCGCATCATCGTGTGGCAGAATGAGCCGCCTGCTTAACCGCTGTGTCCCAGCCTCGTGGGCGGGCAGGTGGTCACGCAGGCGTGGGAGGAGGTTATGTGCCGAGTTGAGCAGGAGGCGTGCAGCCTGCGAGGAGGGGAGTGGTCCGCCCAAGCGCCCGACTCGGGGAGGAAGGACCCTCCCAACTTTTCGGCGTCGGCTGGTTGCGGAGCCAGCCAGCGCCAACAGCACCCATGTCCAGGCGGCAGGACGTCTGTGGAGGTGGCTGGAGCGGGCCCTCCGTCATTTGCGCGCCTGCTTCGACGAAGGAAGCCCAGGCAACAAGGGCTCCCCCGAGGGCGCGAAGTTATTCGCGCTTCGCGCTTCGCGGTCCTCGTTCCTTCTCCTCCTCCTCCTCGTCCTCCTCTTCTCCCCCTTGGGGGGCGGCGCGAGAGCGCGAAGTTATTCGCGCTTCGCGCTTCGCGCAGCGCGAAGCGCGAACTTAGGAGCCCTTGAGGCAAGCAGATGCAGGCTGGGGAACTGGAAAAGTTGCTGGGCGAGAAGGCGCAATGTTCGCTGGGCGCGCTGAGCAGCCACAAGGAGGTGTGGCGCAACCGCCTGCGTGCTGCAGGAGGAGGGCGCCTCAGTTCAGTCGCCGTGGAAGCCTGCAGGGCTGCGGGCTCACCGGCTTGGGCGGGAAGGTCGCAGGTGCATCAGGGGGAGGCGAGGCCGCTGGAGGTGCAGGCGTGCGAGGCGCGCGCTTAAGCTGACGATGCGGGGAAGCCGACCCGCAGCCAACGCCTGGACGCCTGGAAGAGCAAACTGGACATCGCGGCCAGCGGAGCAGCAGGGAAGCTGCACCGCTACGTAAAGCCTGCACCTTTTTGGGTGCCTCGAGGTGTTGCGACGCCCGAAGAGTCGGCTGCCCCAGAGATGGCTGCGGCGGTGGCATTGGCATCGCCGGCGCACGTGTGGCAGGTAGGCCAGCCCGTCCATGAATCATAGGGGGAGAGGCCGCGTTTGCAGAACGTGAGGCGCTCCTGCTGGTGGAGGTGAAGGCAGTGCAGAACATGACCCGTCGGTTCAAGAAACGCACGGGCATCGGCGCGGACCGCTGGCACCTGGGGGCACCCGTCGATCTTGGACGGCACCTCGTACGAAGGGGTGCAGGCGGTCATCGATGTGCTGGAGGATGTCGAGCGCGCCTCGGTGTGGCCGCACCAGGGGGACCGCATCGTGGCGCTCCTCATCCCCAAGTCAGCCACCAAGACAGGACGATGGGTCTGCTGTCCATCATGGTGCGTTGCTGGGGCTGGTTGCGGGCTCCGCTCCTTGAGAAGTGGTGCGGGGAAAACCCCACAGGCTGGGGCCGCACCATGGGCGGAAAAGGGGGCCATGGTGGCGGCTTGGGAGGGGCTCGTCGGGCATCAGGCGGCCGACCCCAAGACTGACGGCGAGGAAGAGGAGGAGGAATGCTATGGGAATGCTATGAGAGCGGACCTCTGTCCTACAAACCACACAAGTTTACCCTCATATGGGGTAGTCTGATCTTTTGCACAGCCCCTGGGGCCGCAGGAGGAACACGAGCCTCCGCAACCCCAGGGCGACAGCCGCAGGAGGAACACGGGCCTCCGCAGCAGCAATAATTTTCAGCAGCCCCTGGGGCCGCAGGAGGAACACGAGCCTCCGCAACCCCAGGGCGACAGCCGCAGGAGGAACATGGGCCTCCGCAGCTGCACCGACCGACGTGCCGCAGGAGGAACACGAGCCTCCGCGGCACTCAAAACTCGGGCGGCTTTCCGACGGGGAGGCCGAGCTTCCAGAGGACCTCCTGCCGCTCGGCCTCGTCCAAGGCCATGAGCTCCTCGTTCAGCTCGGTAGCGGCATCGTCAAGCTCGGCCTCCACCCGGGCCAAGGCGTCCTTGGCCAGCTCCACGCTCAGAGCCGCCTGGTTCACGGCGTAGTGCTTCCTGGCGCACACGGCCATGGCGTCCCCAAGGCCAGGCTCCGCGCCAGCCGCATGGCCGCCAGCCACCTCGGCCCTCGGCATCGACAGCACCGCCTTCTGCTGCTCCTGCTCCTTGTCAGCGTCCTTGCCCTCATGTTCCGCGGCGGAGGTGGGCGCTTGCGTCTCCATCTGCAGCACCCTTTTCTTCGCGGCCACCGTCTTGAGGGAGTGGGCGCCCGTCTCCGCAAGGCTCTCCTGCTCCGTGAGCCCGTCGCCCGTGCTGCCAGCATCTGAGCCGGCGAGGTGGGACCGCACTTCCCTCGCCAATCCGACATCAGGATGCCCTTTGGCATTGCGAAGCTTACTCAGCCTCCCGACGCGGGAAGCAAGCTTCGGCGCCCCACGATCGCGCAATATGCTCTTGGCGTCCTGGACCGAGACGGGGTCCGTGAGGTCCATCGCGTCCTTGACCGCATCGAGGACCACCTCGAGCTGCACCAGCTCGCACCTCTTGCCGTAGCCGTCATCAGCGCCGTCCGCGCATGCTGCCGATGCGCCTGCCGCCAAGCCCTGGGCGGCCCCGCGCGCTGCAGCCGCCACCACTGCGGCGGTGGCCTTGGTGCCACTCTGGCCACCCTGCCCAGCGAGTGCTGCCAAGGCCGCGCCAAATGCCGCCTGGGCGATCGGCAGCGCCACCAACCTCTCCAAGAGGCCATCCATCCCCATCGCACGAGGGAGAAAGGCCGCGCGAGCGGCCTGCCGCGACCAGCTCGACGCACGCCGAGCCTGAGCCAAAAATGGCTACGGAGGAGGAGGAGGAGGAGGAGGAGGAGGAGGAGGAGGGGGAGGAGGAGGAGGAGGCGCTGACCACGATTGTCATGGACTTGGTCAAGGCTTTCGGGGAATTGCCTGTGGTGAAGCTCTGGCAAGCGGGCTTGCGCCGGGGTTTCCCAGCAGCAGTCATGGTGGTGGTGATGCCCATTTTCGCTATGGCTCGCACCTTGGTTGTCGAGGGCTGTTTTTTGTCGAGCGTTGCGGCGCGTGATGATGATGCAGGGGTTAGGCCAGCTGGTCGTGGAGCCCCCCTCGTGGACTGGAAGTTGCACGTGGTCGACCTGCGTCCGGCAGAAGACGGCCCGAGGCAAGCTGGTGAGATGCGCGGAGGAGGTGGCCGATGCGGCGATACACTTGTTCGGCCAGGTGGACCTGCTCATCTACTTCGGGAAGGAAGGCGAGTGCTGCGTGCTAGCCGGCGCGTGCAAGCTGCGAGAGGCCCTGGGGCCAGTTGCGAGGAGGCGATGCGTAAAGGTGCAGACCGCAGGGGCGCCCCTTAGGGTCGACATGTCGATGGCCCGCCGCTCAGCCAGGAGCGAACGGCAGCGGCGCGTCCGTGAGCAACTTGGTCGCGCGGTGCGCCTTTTTGGGCTGGGGCCTGGGGCGCCAGGGCAGGCGCGCGGCGAGGGGTGCAGCGCGGTGTTTCGAGCAGGCCCCATGCCATCGCGCTCCTGCGGGGCCATGTGCCCGGGCCGAGCGGAGACCGACCTGATGCAGCTGAGGAGGTCTGCGGCGAAAACATCCACGGGCAAATTCGGAGGAGGGTCGCTTGGTTTGACGCGGGCTGCGGCACGAAAGTACGGCGGCCCGATCTATTGGGTGACGTCAGCGCCGGTTGTCGCGTGGGCGATGGCGGTGTGGGGCGGAAGCGCCGGGCCCGGCATCGTGTGCCAGGTCTGGCGCAGTCAGCAGGTGGAGGTGGGCTGCAGCGGTGGGTGGCGGGAAGTGCGCGGAACGGCGGGCGCTTGCGTCCCGTCGATGAGGCGTGCGGGGTGGGCGTGGCCAGCGCGGGGCATGTTCCGCGCGCGCGAACCTCGACCACCATCTCGCCGAGGTCTCTCCCATGGACTTGCGAGTCATGCTCGAGCAGGGGTTGGAGTTCACGACGTGGGTCGCTCGCGCCCAGGAGGAGGGCCCTAAGAGTATGGCCCCCAGGCCCTTGATCGCGCCGATCGTCGCCGAACTGGGGCGGAGGCGCGAGGAGGGGTGGGGCCAGCGCGCGGTCAGTGCGGCGAGACGTGCGGTGGCGCGTGGGCCTTTGGCGCAGGGCGAGTTGCGCAATGTCGGCAAGGCGCCGACGCCGGCGCGTCGAGCCTGCAAGTTGGAGCGAGGCACGGCCCACCACGGGTGCTACGAGAGCGAGGGCTCCGTGGCGCTTCGCTTCGAGGTGCCTGGCGTCGCTGGCCGAGCAAGAGGAGGGGGGCTTGCCGTGGGCAGAGGGTCTGCTCAAGCAGCGGCCGCTGGCTAGGACTTCCGGCCCATGGGGGGCCGCGTCAAATGGCGCGTCGAGTGCCGCCTATGCGCCGGCATGGGTGACGGTGAGACAGGAGGGGGCGAAGTGGACCAGGACTAAGGATTCGTAGATGACGGTTTGGTATCGACGACGAGGAGAACGTCTTCGGCCTTGGATCACGGGGCGCGTTCCACTACTCGCAAAGTGCCTACTCGCAAACGCCCGAAAAAACACATGCCTGCTTCGAGGTGATTTCCCGTTGATCCCCCGCGGCGGATCCAGGCGCTCGGCGAGTAGCTACTTTGCGAGTAGTGGAACGCGCTCGTCTATTGGAGGGCCTCAGCGGGCCGGGAGCTGACTCCAGCGAAAACTCCAGTTACAATCAAACGTGCCGACGGGGAGGCCGTTGAGAGCAACCAAAGGGTAAACGTCTTTGCGTATGGCTTCGAACGCGAGCAATGGAAAAACAACTTTCCAGATAAGGTGACTAATGGGGAACTTCATATGGGAAGTGCGCTGCCGATAACGCAAACGAGTTCGCCGTTGACGAATTCCAGAAAGCTTTACGGGCGCTCGCAACCGGAAAAAACACCAGGTACTGACGGTGTACATCCCGACATTTGGATTTTTTTGCTGCGTCAGAAGATGCATGCTCGTATCTTTCTGTTCCTGTGCGTGGGGTGCTGGAGACAGGGAACTTGCCGAAATAGTGGGGGGCTGCAAAGGTGGTATTATTATACAATAAAGGCGACGCGGGATTACCAGAAAGCTACCGCCCAATTTCCTTGTTAACAGTTGGGTGCGGGTTATTATCATGGGCGCCGCAGAAACGCGTTCAACGCGGCGGGGCAGAAGAGCGTATCAGGCCGACGCAGTTTGGATTCCGTCCCAAACGGAGCACTTGATGCGGTTTCAATGGCGCGCCGGATTTTCGATGCTGCGTACGCTGCAGAAGAACCGGGCGTTCTGGCAGTGCTCTTAGACAGGGCAATAGCATTGACCGCGTCAAACACGATGCGATGTTTTCAGCTCTTGCCAGGCTTGGTATTCCAGCTCAGATGGTAGAATGGTTTCAAACAGTCTGTGACGAGTTGAAGTGATATCTCCAAGATCCTGGCGGCGATTCTCCCTTGTGAGACCAAATGACAGGGGTCGCACGAGGCTGCCCTTTGTCTCCTCAGTTGTTTCTTATTGTGTAGACCGTGATGATGTTCGATATGAATAACGCATGCCGCGACGTGGCAGTTGAGTTCATAGAGCCGGTCACATAGCATGCAATGGTCTCTTGTGTGCGGGCGACGCGGTTTTTCTCAGCGCGAGCTCGGGGCAATTACACGCTTTTTTTCGTCTCATCATGGATGGGGGGCAAGACATACTTATGTTTGGAGTGAACAAATCTGGAAGACAACAGTTTTGATGCAAATGCGAAACAATGGCTGTGTGTGCGCCCCGTCAGGAGACTGTTTGGCAGTCTTGGAACAAAAGGTTTACTTGGGTGGATTTCTCAGTACGAAGTGGACAGCAGGCCGCAGGTTACCAGATGACTTGGAGAAGCGAAACGGGTGTTCCAATCGCAGACAAAATGTTGGAATCACGCGAACATCGCACCGCGCCGCAATATAGATATACTTCAAGCTATTGTGCTTCCAACTTTGTTGTGCAACCTGGAATCCCTTCGGTCACTGCGAGCGGACCGTGATCGATTGGATGCGTTCCAACTGGATGTTTGGGGAACTATTGAAGGTGCCACATGCGTATTATTCCAGGGTGTCCAACGACGAAGTGCGAGGAAGAGCGAACGCACGACAGTCGGGCGCAGATTTACTTCGCAGGCAAATCAAACTGTGCGACAGAGTTGCAAATCTACCCGAATAGAATTTGTTACGGAAGCTTGTGCGCGAACCCGGAGCGCGAATTCCAAAACAATGGTATCGTCATCGCAGGCGGGGGCGCCCAAAATTGCAGTGTTTTACCAGCACGTGTTATCTTAATCGGCTCGCTTCCCCCTTCTTCCCCTTCAGATAGCCGCGCGTTCGGCAGGTTGCATTGCAGACGCGTTTGGCGTACTTTCAGCCGCCTAACTCGCCTATGGGCCGTTTGGGCGCCTGGCTTGACTTGATTTGGCATTGCGTAGCTTGCCCCGCGTATTTTGCACCGCAGGGTGTGCTAACGCGCGCTGTTTGGGATCCCCGCTGGCTAACCGTATGTTGTCAGTATCCGTGATATGGGCCAGAACCCCCCGTCAAACAGGACCCCCCGCGTACGTGGTCCCAGGAATCCCCTGGACTCCAATGCAGAGGGACCCCCAGTTTTTCGAGTTTCCTGCACGCTTCTGCTGGGCTTGGCCCAGCCCCAGAGTGGTCAGGAGGGCGACAAAACGACCCCGCGAGAGTCCCAAGCGATCCCGAACTCCTCCAAAACGCCTGAAGACGACCCAGAGAAGACCCCTAAGAGGCAACTCGAACGGTAAAAAAGTTGTTTGTCAGAAGAGGTTTGTGTGCGCGATTTTAGGGTATTTGGTTCTTGGGTTTTCCTGGCGTCCGAGACCGCCCAAGAGGTCCGATAGTTGCAACAAAGCGTACCGACAGAACATCACAGAGAGCCCCAGGGCCGCCCACAAGGTCACTGAGACGGCCCGAAGAGAACCCCATGCAAGCCCAAAATGGCCCCAAACACCCGAATTCGTGGCCCAGTCGTTGAGCGAGACCGTAATTGGCAGCAAGGTGGGCCCAAGAAGGCCCTGGAGGCCACCAGCACGCGCCCAGGAGGCCTCTCCAGAAACGCCGAAGAAGTTCCCGAAAGGCTTTGGTGAGGCCCCTAAGAGGTCCTCCAAGCAGGAACCTCCGCATAAAAGCTGAAACGGGAACCAGGGATGGGTTCGCAGGGAAGGGCGATAACGAGACCTTGAATAAGAAACACGAGAAGGGAGAAGGAAGGAACTGGGGAGAACGACGAGATCTCTCTCTCTCTCTCTCTCTCTTTTTTTTTTTTTTTTTTTTTTCTCTCTCTCTCTCTCTCTCTCTCTCCTTTTTTTTTTTTTTTTTTTTTTTTTATCTCTCTCTCTCTCTCTCGTTCCGCCTGCACGCGAAACTTGCAGAGCCAAGACGCATGGCGCGAAACACCACTGCCGTCTTGTTTTTTTACACATGTGTGTAGACATGCGTCCGTACACACATGCATACACATGTGCACCACCGGCGCCCGCATGGCTTCTCCATGGTGCCCGGCGTCGACGGCAACGGCCCGCGCGTGCGAGGCGCTGGCGGCACCGGAGGCCCTGGCGCAGTCGGGGCAGCAGCAGCAGGCCAACCGCCTGCCCGAGGAGCGGGCGCGGGTGGGCCCCGCGGCCCCGCACCCGGGGGGGTGCGGAAGCCGAGGGCTGGGGCTGCGGCGGCGAATCATGGGAGCCCCTTCGTGTTCGGTGGCTGCAGCAAGGATGTGGTTCCGCCGGGGTGTAGTCTGCGATCAGCGACGTTGGGCCTGGACGACACTGTCCTCGTCGGGTGTCCTCGGGGC